AAACGGAAAGGGATTATTGGATCTATTAACTCTGTTTCCCAAACAAACATGATCATTAATACCCGTGGAGGGGGGTCCTGGGATTTGATAATTAATGAGGGGACTCATTGCCAAATGCAGTCCAAATGCACTGGCGAAACCCTATTTCCCAGGTTGGCATGGGGACAAAGCACAGTCACACCCACTTTGGTCCCGACAATCTCGCAACTTTCCAGCCCACCCCAAGTACAAGCATCAAGAATCGCCTCTACGACTAAAGGTTTCGGGACAAACCCAAGTGGCACACAAGCAAGCACGCGCATACAAATAGCACTCCATTTTTATGACTTGCAGTAAAGTCTCATACGTAGCCCAGCTCAGCTGCAAAGCAGAGAAGTCCACCCAAATCCGCTGCGCCTGGCCATTCACCTAAGCTCGCACTGCCAGCAAAAAAAACATCCCATGTGCAAATGCAATGTGCTCATGTGCTTGAAAGAGGCAAGCACCGTTCGGTGACATCATACATATACCTGTGTGCAACAACCTGATGAGAACATATGACCTCTGGTTCTTGGCCCCTTTAAAATGGGCGCATCTTGCGGCCCCTGCATTCTTTGTAGGCGCTCAAGACGCAGAACGTGTTTGTTTCAATTTGAGGGCACCTTCAAACTGCATTGGCTCTCTTTTCAACAGTGGCGGTTGCGAGCGTGCCGCATTGTCAAACCATCGAAACGCGGGTACCCGCTGCGCCTCTCCGATGGCCCCACGGTAGAGCAGGTAAATGATGGCAGCATCCAAACCCTCAGGTGGCTCCAAAATGTAGCCCCCGGCCTTGCTGGTGGGAGTGGGCGTCACTCGTGAATCACCCACCTGCGAAGGTCCGACCACTTGCCCGATTGAGCGAGCGTTTCGGCAGACCACCGGCGCATGCAACACATGATGTGCTTCTTACACACCTACTGCGTTTAGTCACAGAAGTGCTGATTGGATTGCAAGTCACATGTGGCATACACGTGCATGAACAACACTTTGTATGTATGTGTGCTTGGCACTGTTGCAAGAATAAAGGGCATCTCCTGTTACAACTGGCATACCCGCAACCAACTACAACGCCTGCTTCAAGACAGGTTTGCACAGGCCACAACGGCTGTTCAGTGCCCGGTTCCAATGCAAACTACGCCGGCATCCTGATTGCTTGAGCAATGGACCGCCATGCCGCAGTGTAATGAGCAAGCTCTGGAGAACCAAGCCAGGCCAAAAAGCAAAAACAAACCACCTGGCCCCAACTTTGTTCGTTCCCAAGCAAGAATGTGGTCCGCCCAGACTTCTGTCAAGGCCGGGGGCCTCATTCTCGCCCATGGAAACAGAAGAGGCCAGGAAGCTTCAGGCACCATGGCACTGCTTTGAGCACTGACATAGCGGTCGCCAATTCCCTCATTCTTCCTTACCAATGGCACTTCGTCGAACCCTACCCACACCAGCAGGTTGCAACGTCTTCCTCACCCGAACATGGGTGACATTTGTGTTGGCGAGCCGACCTCAGATAAAAGCTAGTTCATGCAGTTCATCCTTGGGATCCACCTGCTCACCTTGGAATCACAAATGGGCAAACAGTTGATGGTCAGCAATTGCGGACGTGTGAAACCTAGCTATACGCACACCACCAGAGCCACATCTCCCCCTATTTAGTCGCAACCCCCAGGTCCCATACGGCACCACATAGCAGATGCTGCGACACAAGCCTCCTGTTCAAACATGCTCTGCATACTGCGGTTTAAGGCAATGTCTGCCCACCATTTCGCTTTTTTGACACAGTACGGTTTCCTTGCAGTCTGAGACGATTACCAGTCTTAGCCTTACATGTCTGGCCACGGTCTGTCCACTTGCCACACTGCTATTGACCGTCATGCTGTGTTCGACAATGAGGCAGAAACAGATTAAGGATGAATGCAAGTAACAATGACATGCCTTGCCTGTGGACAGTCAAAGCACCCTTGCCATCGCACCAAGCCAAGAAGGGGCGTGCTTTGTAGCCTGAACACCCTTCAGTTACATAGGCGGCTGGCTTTTGAATAAGAAGAGACGCGGTCCAAACGTTCTATTCGAAGCAATGGTGGACAAAAATCAGAAGGGCCCAGTCTTGCATCAACATCAGCCACCACACACATGCCAGCAACAAGAGCAGCAAGCAAACACGGCCATCATACCAAATCATCACCACCCCCCACCCAATAGCAAAACCAATTTGACCAACACACACACACACACACATTTCTATGCGCGCATGCCACAAGGCATATCAAACACCACCGATAAACATCCACCATCCGCCTGGCAGGGCCCCGGGCTCATGGGCAAAACCACGTTGGCCAAGACTTTGGTTTCATGGAGCCGCGTCACCCGCATGGCCAGCTGCTTCCTCGACACCACCGGCGGGCTCGCTGGGTGCCAAACCGTCCCCCTCGCGGCAAACGGGTCGGTGTATCATAGTCCAGAGCTGAAAGCGGCAACCCTCAAAAGACTACAGAGGTCTTGGCTCTGAGCAAATCTTGCGACTGAATGCAACCAGCCGGATCTGGCTCGCAAGGTCTTCCGTGCGGCCATGCCTCACATTCAAAGAGCTTTGTCGCTTGTCCAAGAACACGACAGACTTCAGCTCATCGATGGAGGTGCCCTGGGGAGGCTTCTGTGGCAATGCCTTTCCACCTGTTCCCATTCCTCGTTGGCTTCTTGTCAAACTTTGTTTGGTAAAGGTGGAGTCAGCTCCGATTGATTCAGGGAGGTAAAGGAGGCGGCCCTCACGTTTGACACAGAACTCCTAGATGTTTTTCGATGCGATGACGAAAGGCACAGTGATGCCGGCGCTTGAGATCGAGTCGCTATCGCAAATGGTTTAAAAGTTTTAGCCCAACCTCTCGCAGAGGGGTCCAGATTTAATTCTGGACTGGTTGTCTTTCTCTGGATTTGTTGTGTTTCACTCCCCGTGCTAAAATGAAGTATGTTGTTTAAAGCATGTTCAAGGGGCCAAACCACAAAGCATGTTCAAGCCTACAGTTCAAGCAGCTTAATCACGTCTGTGTCCAAAGTGGCCGTAGGCACCGTGGGCTCTTAACGGTCTCTTCCTGGGTAGGCTACATAGCTGACCCTTTTTATCGGACTCCTGTCAGAATCCTGCCAAATAAAACCAACTGTCATGAGTAACTGCGCAATCCAAATTCTGCTTGCCTCAAACAGGCCAACGCTTCGTTTGCAATCCTTGAGGCTTCGCAAAATTCTTGACACGCAAGAACCCCCTCACAACATCTGACAATTTTCGTATCCAAGCCCCAATGATCAGCAAGCACCCTAGGAGAAAACCAGGTTGTCTCTTGTGAGCTTCTTTATGCAGGCCACCCATCCATATTGATACGGCTTGCCTTAAACGGAATTGGGGGAGCCCTCCCCAACATACTCCCGAGGTGCTTCATCCCTCAGCCTGCCGATTTCAAAAACCATCCACATCCCAAGGGTTTGAAAGGATCCTTGGCAAACAAGCTTGGACACTGCCAGGCACCTACTGGCCTTGTCACATGGGTTTGTCCAACACAAGGCAGACTTGTTGGGGAGCCGGCAGTTGTTTGCCATCTCCATTTTCGCTTTGCCCATGTAGGGCCATCATTTTGACAACCCTTGAGTAGTGCTTCCAGGCAGTTGGTGCTGACGGCCGTTGAAAAGCGCCCGCCTCGTTGAAGATATTGACCACGCACAGAGCGTCCAGCCGGCCTTCCTTCAAGTCCTGGCGCCAGTTCCCGCGGTTCGGTCGGCCGTAAAGGCACTGGACCAAGGCCACTGCTGTCGGACATCCAGAAATCCCCACATCGGAACCTCAAGGCCCCGTTGGACAGCAAATGCGCCGGCCAATCAAATACTTCCCAACACCTTCCGGCCAGCAATTTCTGGCTTGCATCACATGCCGTGGATTGCTTTCCGCCCCTTCCAGCCACTTGACTTGTCTCAACACAGTATTCACCAGAAAGTGGGCAGCTGTAGACATCAGAATCTGCAACTCAGGAACGTGTAAAGGTACAGACAATACCGCCCAAGACCCTTCACGAACTGCCCCGGATCACGGCTTGCCTGCTTCAACTGTTGGCGAGTGCTGTGGTTCATGTTTCCGCACACATCTCGGCATCTCACGCCTCAGCTGCATTGCACCAGCTCATTAGGCTGGCCAACTTGGACCACTACCAACATCAGTGCTTGCTTGCCCCGGCATGCGGATGCCTCAAATAATACCCCCCACAAGTGGAGAAACAAGTTCAGGCTGAAATGGCTCAGTAGCCACGCAACACGGCCGCAGAGCTAGGCGCAGCTAGCGTGTGTCAAAACTACGAAGTGCACGTGATGAAGAAAAATGGACTTGGTAAGGACGGAGGTCAACTAATTACGTCGGTTTGGAGTTCCTTGCGACCAATGGGGTCAGGCCTCACCCATCGCAAGCAGGGGGCCGGCGGTGGGGGGGGGGGGTTCTTCGTCGCAGTGGTTCTCAAGGTCGCAGCCCGACTGTTGGCTGCACGCAAAAGAATCCAACGATTCAGCAGCCGAGATCACAAGGAGCATTTCTTCATTGCACAATCTGGTTGAAGCAGCTAGAGACAAGGCCACCATGCCTCTTCCATCCCCCGCACCAGACCCTGGGCACCGGGCCCAGGCTGTTCAGCTTCTCCGCGCACTCGCGGGCCCGCTTCACGCCTCAAAGCCGAAAGGACGCAAATGCCAATCACTACCCACTGGTTCCCACAGGGTAAGTACCATGTATTAATAAACCCTCTTAAGCTCACAGCCTACCCACAGCGGCCTTTCATGTAACTAGCCCATGACAACTCGCATGGAAAGCTCTTGAAGCATAAGTACGACGCCATGGCCAGGTGCCGCCTGGCAACCATGGCAATATCCTTGCGAATATGGTTACGTAGCATCTCTGTACCCATGTATTTAGGCTGCTGCACCCCGATCCACCCGGCGGGCGTCGCTGGCCCTGCTTCCAATCGCCTGGGAAGCCTTGGGGCTTGGAAGGTTCAGCCATCCATCCATCTTTTTTCCCCGTCCCTCAAGCACCTCACCGCAAACAGGTCGCGGAAGTTCCGCAGATTCCTCACTTGCATCTCCAGATGGGACTTCTCTTGATTCTAATAGCATCTCACCAAATAACCCCTGCAACCTCAACATCTCATGCTCGAATCAGATTCCCCCAGTGCCTCTCCCCGGACCCTCTCCGCTGTCCAGAAGGGGCGCGGTTGCTGACCACCAGCATCGGGGTCAAGCGCTCCCGGTTGGTGCGGATCCACTCGCCCATGGCCTCGATGTCCTGCGTGTTGCCCACCGGCACCGTGATCATAAAATCGCAGACGTGGCCTTGCCAAAAGCAAACACGCGCTGCCTGAAATTCTGAAACATGCGGAACATCCCAACCACCCCAAGGTGCCCAGCCCCAAAATCCCGAAGCAACGAAACCACCAATCTGCACGGATTCTTTGGAGTTGTCATTCTGGACACTGCCAGTCATGCCAGTGGTCCCTGGGTTTTCCAAACGCTTTCTCACAGCTGGGCCAGCTCAATGGGACCTGATTGCAGGTCGGAACCTTGACGGCGGTCTCCAAGTTGATAATGGAACACCCCAAGCCGTGGAACACTCAACAGCTGATGGCTTGGCTACACCCTTTGGTTGATTCTTGTGGTGCAAGCCCACGAATCCTACCTTTGGCGGCTCCAAACCAGGATGCTCACCCCCTGAAGCAAAACGGGACCCCTTCAAGCACCATGTCGAGTGAGCTGCCCTCGTCAAGTGCACGCTCAAGGTCGTATCTGAAGTCGATCTGATCGGATAAGTAGAAGGTGGCAGTGAAGTGTGCTGCAAGCTCGCTGGAGATTCCGTGCTTGATGATGCCTGAATATCCTCAGCATTTCGACTTGAGATGTCTTCGTATAGACGCTTTGAATTGAGACATCCGAGCCATTTCTCCTCATTATGGTCCTTTTGAGGGGACATGCGTTTCCCGCAGATTGTTAGTGCCAACCCCGACCAGAGACCGGTTTGCAAGGTCAATCAAGGTCAGCTATCACCTGGCTAGATGCTTCATAAAACATATTGCCCTACCAAACGTAGCCGGAGCTGCGCATCGCCGGGCGACTGAAAAGCAAAACGGACTGAGGCGGCTGCCGCTCTTGCCCTTCATTTCAATATGGTGCGCCTCAGCCAGCCAATCAACCTGCTCTTGTCTCATTAGCATGAACCTCCAATTTGCCCAGTGCTCTGGGAATTGCCGAAAGCCAACTATTCAGGGCAAGCATCCTGAAAATTTTGCACACCCGCTCCTCGCAAACTAGGGAGCAAGCCTCTGCAAAATCTGCAGTCTTTGCACCCTTTTTCTTTGCCTTTTATATCTCTGCATTCTACAAACTAGTACTTGTGGTTGAGTTACAACGTACAACCCATACATGTATCTTTGAAGGCTGGAGCAGCAAGATTTTGCAACAAGGTTAGGGGTTGTTTGCATGGTTGGTTGCCTATGGTTGTTTAGGGGACGGCTGGGCCTCTTTGCTGACCTTGCAGCTTGACATCTGACTGAGTCAACTGACTGACCTGTCTTGGCGCAAGGCGATTCATCCCATGGCAAAAGCAAAGCGCAACGCCGAGCCCGCCTCGTCCACAATCTTGATGCGGAAGCTCCGCCCACGCAGCAGGTGCGCGCTCGCATAGACGCAGACCTCAGGGAGGGCAAAGATCTCATCCCAGGTCTTCAACCGTGCGCCACCGGTGTGAAGTTGCTTGGGCGGTCGGTCGGCCTGCAGCTTTGCACATGTTTAGCCATGCACACTTGCGAAACACTCCGTCTCCTACAGTTGCTGGCTTGCTAAGATTCAGTTTAAACCGTTGTATTGATGGCCTTTCGCACTAGATAGCAAACAGGTCTTGGGACTGCTTCTCTCAGTTTTTTGGGGTGCAATTTCCAAAAGCTCCAGCAGGTTCATCAATCCAAAGGTCCCCCTTAAAGCGAAAAGGAGGGCTTGCAAAGGACGCGAAGCGGCACCAGCTGCGATTTGTTCTGTCCTGGAGCTCAACTTAGAAGACCACAACGTCTGGGTGGGATCCTAGAACTTGTGCTTTCCAGCCCTTTGATAACCCGTGTGCCGTGCTTTGCAGGCCCTTGGATTTAATAAGCCCCACCTGGCTCCAAACACGCGGTTAAGTCGACCTCGCCGGAAAGGTGACTTCGCCATTGCTGAGCCATGCAGCCAACAATCGATCTCAAAAGAACACTTTGCAGCCCCTGCCGCCCGGGCAAAAGAAGTCTGCAAACGAGTGAGAAGTCCCTAGCATTGCTTCCTTGCCACGGCCGCTCCGTAAGACCCGATTCTGGTGTGATCATGTATCATAATTCATGCTGATTTGCGGGCCAGAGAAGCAAAGGGATTTGCAACCGCTGGGCAACTCCGATGGGATTTCAGCCGGAGCCACAGTTGTCAGCTTAAGATCATCTTGCCGCCACAACAGGGCTCATGAACCTGCGCAGCAAGTCAGATGGGAAACGACCGAGCCCGAAGTCACAAGCTTGCCGGGAGGAAAGCCTGAGACTGCCACGCACTGTGCTGCCAAGCTGCCACAACACTTGAGGTGGCATCAAGGTCCTTAGACGCAAGCTGCGAAGAATGTGCTTGGGAAATGTCCGAAACGCAAATGGAACCTTCCCAGGTCCAAACAAGTATTGGGCGCCCGTGCTTGGATTCCAGGCGGAAATCGGCTGCCAGGACTGAGCAGCAGCGAACAATGTTGGGTTCCCATGATTGGTCTGCCCTTGAGCTACTCTTCCATGCGGAAGCTGTCTTGCCAAAGAAAGTTGGCCAAGGAAGGCAGCTTTGATCGCGCTAGACATGCCGCCACCAAAAAATTCAGCGGCTCAGCCCGCTCTTACAGTCGGATTTGCAACGACAAGTGGAAGGGGGCAGCACCTCAGTCATGGCTTTGTCACCTCGCAAAAGCACGTTTCAAGTAACGTATGACCAATGCTTTTCAATTTTAAACCACACACACACACACAACATTTTCTGCTCCAAGGTCAACTTCCATTCAAGGTGCCCTGCTGCCATCTCCCACCACGCAGCAGGACACGCCAAATCGCCGCAGCTCTTCCGCGGTTTGCCTGCACGGGCGAGTCCCTTTGAGCAAGCCCCTCTCTAACGAAAGGGGCATGCATTTCCATCAAAGCACATGGTCATGACACCAACCTGCCTTTCCCAATCATGCATCTCACAGCGAGAACCGAGCAGTACACACTAAGTCCACATTGGTAGCTTGGAGTCTAGGGTGGGGGTCAGTTCAGTGCCCATAAAAGGCAAATGGTGGTTAGCGAGCCTGCATTGGTGGCTGGCAGGGACTCATCTAAACTATATGATATGTATTGAGGTAGGTAGATAGGGCTAACTTAGCGCAAGGTTTGGAGTTTACACCCCTCCGTTGCCAGAGACAAAGATCCTTTCTTGAGTCCACTAACATGTCGAGTGACGGACGGCTGATTGAAACCACAATTGAAACTTGCCCACTGGGTTGCAAGTCTCTCGTGAAGACACTAGCTCCTTTACCCACGTTTGCTTCCTGCGCGAAGCAATGCGAATGGTCCAGGTACGGATGAAGAATTTATGCCTGGGACTAACGCCTTGTTGTGGTTCCATGTTCCCATGGTATGTCTACCTAACACTCACTCACTGCAAGCACCGATCACCGGTCCTGGCAAGGTCACGCCACGGCACGAAGATCACGTACCGCCCGTCGGGGTTCCTCAGAGCAAAACTGAAAACCGCAAAAAGGCGATTGAGAAAAACAACTTCATGCTGCAAACTCGACACGTAACATTTAACCATCCGTGCGAAGCTCTGCTTATGCAGGATGCCAATTGCAGAATCCTGTGTCTGCCTGCTGAGGCCATGCCCAAGGCTATGCCAGAAGGGTAGTAAGCTAGAAGCAGCCTACTGGTGTCGTTTCAGGTCAATGTATTTTAGGAATGGTTTGTCATGCCTTTCCAGGAAGATGAGGCTGGCCACCACTTAATTGGCGGGGGTGTAGCCGAAAGTGTGTTGACACGTGCTTGGGGCGGCGTGTAAGGCATGGAAATGAGCTGGCGGTCCCCCTTCCCTCGAAGAATCATCTTGCGTCACCAAGACTGCCTTGTCTGACCACGTACATGTTGAGCCTCCATAGCTGAAATTCCTGCAACATGACATGATGCCTTCCGTGTGTACAAAAGACACCGGCATGCTCAATAACATTCTCTTCATTGCTGGTTGGCGAGGGGATCAGGCCAAGTGGTCTGCACTGCCCCATCGAACCATACAGAGAAACGGCAGCTCTGCTCCCCCAAAAAATGAATAAGCCCGAGGATCGCTTGTTTTGCTGAGGTAAATTATGTATGGCCATTGATTTTGCAAACAACACACAAGTTTCAAACATAACGATTTCATGTGCAGCCAACCTCGCATAACTGCAGATGAGCATTCATGAACAGTAGCGCAGCGGCAGCTTTGATGCCAAGATGCTCCGCCATGTCTCCTCAGCGCGCGGTGCTGGGAATGCCCTTCAAACTCCCAACTGCAACATTCCAAGGCATAGGTTTGTTCCCACATCTCCAAATTGAGATCGTGGGTCTCAAGAGGAGATGCAAAGATTAGAGGGATGGGGAGAGAGAGAGAGAGAGAGAGAAAGAAAGAAAGAGAGAAGAGAGAGAGAGAGAGAGAGAGAGACAGGGAAAAAGGGATAATGAGATGGCAGGATCTCAGAGCATTCTCTGCACAAGTTGGTTCCTTGTGCAAAACCCAGCTCTCCCCACCCCCACTGGAAACCACCGAGCCACAAGCGCTACGTTTTAGAAAGCGCAGTTGGCATTGCCAGGCTACCTTTGCAATAGCCCAAAGCCCAAGAACCAGTTCAACTAGTGGTCTTGTCAGTGGTTGCAGGCAGATTTCAACCAACTTCACTGCATTGTGGAAATAGGACGTTGGAACCGCTGGAAGGGGGTGGACCACCCGCACGCCTACAAAGCAATACCGGCTTCTGATCTCCTCTCTACAAATTCGCCCCAACGGGCTTACATGGAATTTGAAAGAGAGACCACCTCCATCAAAACAGCATCTCTTGTGAGTCACGATCCGCTTCAAGTACCAGCATGTCTTCGTTTGAACCCCATCCTAGATCATTCGAGCGCAGCGTTGCAGGGCAAAACGCCAAACGTGATCACGGAACCGAAAAGACAGCTTCCTTGCATGCAGCCTGCTCATTGCCAGCTTCCTGTGTCACGTCGCCTGCGTAGGGTGCCACTTAGAGACACTGCAGCCAGGGTTCTGGCAATGATCAGAGCGTAGGTGAAGGTCTTTCCCGTGCCACAGGCCATCTGGAACTTGAGATGGCGTCCTTGTCGCGCCGCCTGGCAAATGAGAGGGGGCCGTGCACTCCAGACGCGGGACAAACAAAAAATAGAGGAACCAGTGGCCCGAAAGCATAACATACCGTGAATTTGCGGGATGCTGCAGCACATGTTTCTTTCTGCTCCGACGCTTGTCATTAGCACAGCGGCTCCGCACATACCGCGACAGCTAGAGCCCGTCAGCGCATGCGACTGCGAGCAATATACAGCACGCATCTAACCCAAAGAGGCTAAAATGTTGCTGCGGGTTCTCTCCAACATCATGCGCGCCCACAAGCCGTAGTCACGGCCGTACTCATGGCCACAAAAAAGGTCCTGCCCGCGTGCAACACTGAGCCACGCACACAGCGCAACTGAGCCACGAACGCAATGTATTCAAACATAGCAAGGTCTATCAGCTTGTAAGATGCCTTGTCGAAGCTTCCTCAGCTTGCTGCCAGCGGCCACGCAGGCATCGAACAACACGTTCGCCCTGTACTCGGAGCTGCGAAGTCCCGGGGGGGCAGATCTCATGTCTTCCAAAGAGATGCCGATGTGGCAAACTCCTTGCTTCGCTAAGTATGCAATCCATTCAGGCGAGGCCTCTTTCACTGACATGTGGCCTAAGCATGTGTATGAGAGAAGTGGATCTCAGTGTCGAAGCGGGAGGGCCACTTTTGGAGGCTGCAAGCGGCTTTCATCATGATGAAGGCCCTTTAATTGCTGAGCAAAAACCTCTGTGGGAATGCCGAAGGCACACCAACAACACCTGCCTTGAACTGTTGAATAGGCCTGCGCAGTTCCAGCTAGCCTCCGATTTCGGGTTGCAGGTTGGATTGGCATTTGTGGTATGCAGTTCTGAAGGTGGCCTTATGGGCGTTTTTCCCGCAGTCATTGTGAAGGGTTCTTCCGGCAAAATCTCTAGCCTGACCGCGCAGCGAAATACACGAATGGACACGCAAAGCAAGATGCACAAGTGCGTGTGCCAAGCAAGATGCACAACAGGACTTGCACAGTAGGATGCACGAGAGCACACGCGAAGCAAGAGACACGAGAGCACATGCCAAGCGCACATGCAGAGCAAAATGCACGAGGGCACATGCCGAGCGCACTGTACAACCGGCGCAGAGCAAGACGCACAAGAGCACGCGCAGAGCAAGCACAGGCGCAGCAAAGTTGCGCGAGACAAAGCGCCGCAAATTGCACGAGAGAACGCGCAAACCAAATCGCACGAGCAGACGCGCACAGCACATCGCACGGGGGAACGCGCGCAGCACAATGACAAGAGAGAACGCAGAGCAAACTGGGCGAGAGAACCTGCGCAGCAAAGTGCTCTAGAGAACTTGAGCTGCAAATCGCGCGGGAGAACGCGCGCAACAAGTTGCACGAGCCAACTTGCGCAAGAAAGCTCGCATGAGACGTTTTGCACAAGAAATGTGGACTCGAAATTAAACTTAGTCTATGAAGATAGCGCGGTAGGACCAAATCCACTGAACGAAAATGACACCCTGTGCCTGGATGAGCGTGGTCGAGGTTCACAATCGCGAGGCTCTTGCTACTTGTTGATTCACGCGCGGCCCTTTGTGTGGATCAGCGCAGTCGAGCTTCAAAACTCAGGGGTCTTGCTACTCTTAAGTTAACTGATACTTTCTGTGGGACAAGGCTAATCTGCGCAAAGAGTGCCGATCCGCAGTGCTAGGATGCTGGCGCCGAGTTGCCTGCGTCGAGACAGGCACGCGCAAAACAACGTGCGCTGAGCAACTTGCGGGGAGGAAGCTGCACAGAGACACATGCACAACGCACATTGCACAGAGAAACGTGCGCCGAGAGCTCGTCCAAACTTGAGTCGAGAACTCTCGCAAACAAACTTGCCCACTTCAATGTGGCAAGCTGGCGAAGACGCGCAAGAAGTTCACTCAGACGACCAACAGGACTGCGTCTCACGTAGTCACGAGGCTTCAGTGTGGTCATCGCGCTTGCTCTCGGACCAGGCTCGCAATTGGATGCGCAGGACTCGGCAACGCGACGTTGGCCGCAAACCGCAAACTACGCAAGACGTCGTCAACGTGCCAAAGCCCAGAGCAACACAAGCTGCATTGCCAGACATCCCAGCGTCACTAGCTCAGGAGCCTGGTCTTGCCAGCGAGGCCAACAAGTCGGGAAACATGAGCAGCACCCTACATGCCCATAGCAAGCGGAAAGCCCGTCCCAGCATCACCAGGGCTGTCAATCAAGGCGCAACACAGGACATCACAGCTATCCCTTTGTTCAAGAGCCCCATTGTCACCTAAACCAGGCTGAGGTCGCCAAACAACCCGGTGCAAGAACACAACAAATGCTTGTCAAAATTTACGTGCAAAGGAAACACGGCCGGCGGGACAGCAAGAAAAAGGATTTCAACAGCAACCTTCGGCTTGGGTGTGCTCGATTCAGCAGCATGGCTTTCCATGTGTGTCTGTGTGTGAGCGGTGGGTGTGGGCGTGGATGGCTAGATGGCTGGCTGGCTGGGTGCGTCTCTCTGAGCGCGTGTGCGTGCTTGTGCTTGGGGGTGAACAAATATGTATATACATAAATACATATATACATATATACATATATACATATGTACATATATACATATATATATACATATATATATATATGTAATATGTACATATATATATATACATATATGCATATAGATATATGTACATACATATGTACATAACAAATATGGGTTTGTATTTTTTTAGGGTGGCCGGGCAGGAAGGTTTGAGTACGGGGTATGATTCGCAGGTATGATTCGCGGGTATGATTCGGGGTATGATTCGGGGGTATGATTTGCGGAAGCAGCAGCAGCAGCAGCAGCAGCAGTAGTAGTAGCAGTAGTCGCCGAAGTAGTAGTACTAGTAGTAATATTGTAGTAGTAACAACAGTAGTAGTAGTAGTAGTAGTAGTAGTAGTAGTAGTAGTAGTAGTAGTAGTAGTAGTAATAGTAGTAGTAGTAGTAGTAGTAGTAGTAGTAGTAGTAGTAGTAGTAGTTAGTAGTGGTAGTGGTGGTAGTAGTTAGTAGTAGTAGTTGTTGTTGTTGTTTCTGTAGTAGTAGTGGTAGCAGTAGAAGGAGTAGTAGTAAATAGTAGTAGCAGTAGTCCTAGTAGTAGTAGTAGCAGCAGCAGTAGTAGTAGTAGTACTAGTAGTCCTGATAGTAGTAGTAGCAGTAGTAGTAGTAAGAGTAGAAGCAGCGCCTGTAGTGGCGCGGAAGCTTTGAAAAGACTTGGCGCTGGCCTTGGCAAGGCAAGTTCATTGCGCGGGTATGATTCGGGTATGATTCGCGGGTATGATTCGGCTAGGTGCAAAACGGCACTGATTACAAACTCGTAGTAGCTGTGGTAGTAGTAGTAGTAGCAGTAGTAGTGGTAGTAGTAGTAGCAGTAGCAGTTGCAGAAGTAGTGGTGGCAGCTGTAGCAGAAGCAGCAGCGGCTGTAGTGGCGCGGACGCTGTGAAAAAGACTTAGCGCTAGCCTTGGCAGGGGAAGCTCATTGTCCGGGTATGATTCGGGTATGATTCGCGGGTATGATTCGGCTAGGTGCAAAACGGCGCTGATTACAGACTCAGAATGATGTATGTGGTAGTAGTGAGTAGTAGCAGCAGCAGCAGCAGCAGAAGCAGGAATAGTAGTAGTAGAAGTAGTAGTAGTAGTAGTAGTAGTAGCAGCAGCAGCAGTAGTAGTAGTAGTAGTAGTCAAGGTTGTAGTCGTAGTAAGAGTAGTAGTCATAAAGGTAGTAGTCGTAGTAGTAGTAGTAGTAGTAGTAGTAGTAGTCAAGGTTGTAGTCGTAGTAGATAGTAGTACGGGTAGCAGAAGTAGAAGCAGTAGAGTAGTAGTAGCAGCGGTGGTAGCGGTGGTAGTGGTAGTAATACTCGTAGTCGCGGTAGTAGCAGCAGCAGCAGTAGTAGTAGTGGTGGTAGTAGCAGTAGTAGTAGTAATTGGAGTAGTAGTAGTAGAAGTAGTAGTAGTAGTAGTAGTAGTAGTAGTGGCAGTGGCAGTGGTAGTATTGGGTAGCGCTGGTGGTGGTTGTTGTGGAGACAGTGAACAACACAAAACGGTAGAAGAACATTAGCATCTTGCAGCATACGTTTTAAGGGGTATGATTCGGGGGTATGATTCGGGGTATGATTCGGGGTATGATTCGGGGGTATGATTCGGGGGTATGATTCGGGAAGGTCCCACCTTCTGCCTTTTGAAGAAACTCAACACACCAAAAAAAGACAAACCCATGTGTGTACATGGGTGTGTGTGTGTGTGCGCGCTCGCGTGCGTGCTTGAGTGCGTGGGTGGGTGTGTGTGTGTGTGGTGTGTGTGTGTGTGTGTCTGTGTGTGTGTGTGTGTCTGTGTGTGTGTGTCTGTGTGTGTGTGCGCGTGTGTGCGTGCGTCCGTCCGTGCGTGCGTGCGTGCGTGCGTGCGTGTATGTGTGTGTGTGCTTGTGTGTGTGTGTGTGTCTTTGTGTACATCTGTCTTTGTGTGTCTTTGTGAGTGTGTGTGTGTGTGTGTTTGCGTGTTTTGCGCGCGTGCTGTTGTGTGTTTGCGCTTGTTGTGTTGTTGTCTGTTGTTTGTGTGTGTGTGTGTTCGGTGTGTTTGTATGATGGTGTTTGGTTGTTTTTGTGTGTGTGTATGATCGTGCGGGTCCCTCTCTCTCTCTCTGTGTTTGTTTGTTTGTTTGCTTGTTTGTTTGTGTTTGATTGTTTTTGATTTTGATTTTGATTTTGTTTTTGTTTTTGATTTTGTTTTTGTTTTTGTTTTTGTTTTTGTTTTTGTTTTTGTTTGTTTGTTTGTTTGTTTGTTTGGGTCTGTTTGTTTGTATGTTTGTCTGTTTGTTTGTGTGTGTGCTCGTGTTTGTGTGTGTGTGTTGGTGTGCTGGTTTGTGTGTGTTCTTGCTTGTTTGTTTGCTTGCTTGCTTGTTTGTTTGTTTGCTTGCTTGCTTGCTTGTTTGATCGATTGATTGATTGATTGATTGATTGATTGATTGATTGATTGGTTGATTGTGTGTTGCGTGTTGTGCGCGTGTGTTTATTCCCGTAGTTCTGTTTGCATTTGTGGTTGTATTTGTTTGCGTGCCATGTGCGATTGTTTGTGCGTGTGGGTGCGCAGCCACCCGGAAAAAGAAGAAGAGACAAAACAACTCATGGCTGATGCGGACACGTCTCAGGCTCCAGATCGAGCAACTCCCGCCTTCTCTGCATGCGCGAAGAAATAGTTCACAGCCTCTCGCTGGTATGGCCTGGTAGGGCTGACCCGCGTTTGACCCACCAACCCTTTGCCAGGTCAGGGTTGCTCATCGCCCCAAGCTCCAGCGTCAATCGCGTGCCTGACTTTCCTCCCATCGCCAGTGGTCACCACGAAGGCGAAGGAAAGGCACCTCAGCGAGAATGGAGCGAAGGGCTGCCTACAGCTGTGAAGTCCATGAAGCTGTGTCGTTTTGTCACTTTGCCGGTCATCTCCGAAGGTTACACATGACCAATTCGAGTAATTGCAGGGAAATGCTGAAATTGAATCTTATATATAACCAGGGCCAGGCGGAGAAATGCTTGCCAAGCTCAATGACCGCCAAATCAGGCAGGGCTTCCGTGCTGACAAAACGTGACAAGCCGCAACTATGCTCCGCGACTGATTTCCGCTTCAAACATTGAACGCGTAAAGAAACAGCCGCTCGAATGATGAGAGTCTTTGCACTTCTTCGCATTCCTGCTGTCAGCTTCCTCCCTGCGTTTTGCCTGTTAAGGGGCTCCACGAACATGTTCGGGTCATCTGGCAGAGGGGTTGTCTGTCCCGCTTTCGAACGCCCAAGCAATTTAAGCCTCTGCGGCAACACCAGGAAGCAAAGGAACACTGCTCGAGGCAAGGCCACAACTGGACATCCAAATGGTCAGCTTTGGAGGATTTCCATATTCTCTGCACAGATGTGCACACTTCAACCTGGAACAAAAAACAAAGAACCTCCTAGTAACTCCTCCTCCTCCTCCTCCTCCTCATGATCCGATGCTCTACTCGGGTGCCGTCGGTTCCTGTGACCCCGGCAGCACGCTGGCCGCCACGAAGAGCACGGCTTGCCAAGAGCGCAGGCGCCGTTTGCGCATAGCCCCAGATTGAAGGGGATTCTTGGGGCAGGATTTTGGTTGCGAGGGCGGTAGTTTGCCAAGAAAACCAGAAGCACTTCCTTTTTGGTCATATTTTTGCACACCATGCGTCTGGCAGTCTGCTTATGTCTAAACAGCTCACTCTCACCTTGACCACTTGGGGCGAACCTCAACTTAATCTTGATCTGGCAGCTGCAGAGCCAACGTCAAGGCCTGAAACCGAGATTCATGGCTGTCTGGGGCTCAACAGTGGGAGCTTCCAGACCAATCACCGCTTGCGTTTCAGCTGGGACGGGCCCAATTCCTAAGCTCTGTAGTCTCTGATCGAATGGCTTCAAAACTCTTCGGTCAGAGCGCCCTGTTCCAAGTGGGCCCTACGTTCGACGAAACACTCGTCACCGATCAATGGAAGACTGGCTGAACCCTTCCAATAGCTCCTAGGCAATGGCTCTAGCGCCTTTACTGCAGGGGCCACAGAGAGAGAGAGAGAGAGATCTGGGCCGTAAGAATCCCACATGCCTGCGCCAGTCGCTTGAGTGCAACACCTGGCCTTGATCCAGGGAGACACTCCTATCAGGGCAAGACGTGGCAAAGTGTTGCCGCGTGCCCTCGCCAATAGCGTTACTTCAAAGGGAGCTCTCATCATGAGCCATCATCGAAGGATACTGACCCAACACTCCACATTGTTTTCCAAAGAAGCACCCAGCACACAAACCTGATGTCAAACCGGTTGTGGGAAATCAACAACTAGTTTCCTTTTAGGAAACTAAGCCTGATCGGCGATCCGGCACCAGCTGACAAGATCCAACACGTTTGTGCCCCTGCCCCAGGTTTACCTCCCAATCCATGCGATCCGCCCCAATCGCTTTGCCAGCATGCAAGCCAAGGGCTTAGCTTTCGGGATTTGAGATTGTTGGGGCTCAGGTTTCATGCGGTCTTTAGGGTGGGCTTAAGGTGTCTCGAGTGCTATCCATTCCTGAGTTTGCAAGTTGGGAAACGGGACCTTGGTCGGAGCTAAGCCCTCGATAGCCCCAAAACACTGGCCCTGCGCAGGAAATGGTGCCTTTTGCTAATCCATCACGCCTTTTTGAGCACAGTGGCACTGTTGCACCCGAGCTCAGCAAGCGATAAGCATGCTGCCTGGCGGGCTGCGAGCACAAGGCTGAATTCAGGGGTTCTGTCAAAAAAAGTCAAGTTGAGGTAGACGCAATCGCAAATCCGGCATTTCATTGAAGCAAGCGAAACCCGACACTTCCCAGAATACACAACATGACGCCGCATAGGAATCACGAGCTGCCTTCACGATTTGGCCAACAACTGGATGCAACAATGTCGATCAAACGAGCCTACAGCAAGCAAACGGAGCATTCCAGCACGACCAAGGAGGAAACCATGACAAATGCTCTGAGTGAGAATGGGGTATCACCAGCGGATAATAACATGCCCAAATTAGACTAATGAAAGGCAACATCTAGCCCTAACATGGGCACATCCAGCAAACCTTTGAATGAAGGACCTTCATCATGGCTGAGCCCCCTGTACCACGCAAGCTCCATTGCGCACAAATCGTATGCGTTTCATGGGCAGGTTGTACGCCGTTTGCCACTGTTTATTGTTACATGCCTGCCATATTCTGCGTGCACAAATGATAAGCACCCTTCCCAGCACGCAACCCTGGAGCAGAACAGCAACCTCTCATGGCTGAAGTCATTTAATTTCACTTCCTGCGCCGGAACCAGAGTCAAAAAGCACTTAAACTACGTATTCATGTTACTTTTAGCAAGACTCCCGTCGATTCCGTCCAAATTGCAGGGGAGCTTGTACGCTCATGGCCCAATTTCATGTGCCGAAAGGCCAAAGCAAACTTTGACCCTGGTTTGGGCAATGTCCATGGGCTCCGAAACCCTCAAGCGGGGCAAGGAATCATAACGGACATTTGGCGTATTGGAAGACACTGGCCGGATGCCGATGTATTCCGGCCGCGCCTTAGTGTTGCTGGTGTCTGCGCGCTGCTTCGTAGGCATCGTCCCTCGGCTGTTCAAAGGTTCTGAAGATATCACAAGGATGTAGTATGCACATGGCCTGCCTCCAAGAGTGAACTCTTGAGCTGGCTCGTGAAACGAGCAAATGCCTCATTTTGAGGCAAGCCTTAGATGACCACATCCACACTAATCGGAGATGCCGCTTGGGCGGCTAGTATGAGCCGGATCAAGCAAACAGATCGACCATTGCAGTTTCCACTTCGAAGAGTCTCAACAACAGCTAGCGCAATGTTGTTCAAGCAAAAGCCGCCATTCTCATGACAAAGCGGGGGAAATCATCATGGTGCTCCAACATGGCCTCCTCCTGTCAAGTCGAGCGATCCACAACCCGCTCCTATGATTTCGTCCTGGCAACCCAATTTTGGCCGCAAACTCAACCCCCCCTTTTCAGAGCACCCAGTGCAATGTATGAAGCCCAGGATTGTACGGCACCTACGCCAGGCTGCACCATCCACACTTAAAGGCCAAGCACTGGCAAGCACACCTCCAACGAGACTATGCAATGGACAGCCAAAATACCGAAAACATGCAAGAGCCCGGACTCCCCTTTTTCGCTTCACACGCGAAAAACAAATCCAAAGAATGAAGCTGTCACTGCCGGTGCTCACTCAAGCTAGGTCACAACCCTGAACAGCTTAGCGCCTCCACGCTGCCACAAAAGAAATGGGTGCATTTCACCCAAGCAGGGCGGCGAAAGGTGCCCAACTCCTTTTCCGCGAATGAGGGCGCCGCTTCTGAAGAAAAAACGTTCGCAGGCTTCTGCTCAGCTCTCAGTCAATTGCAAACGACATGGCCTTTCCATAGCCAACGGGGTCCTATGCAAAAAGCGCAGGTACACTGCTCACTCTGCAAACTCGCAAGGCCAACGCTCCGTTGACTCAAGGCTCCGGCACACCAGCGGTGGGGAAGAATTCGTTGCCAGGCCCTGAAAAAGGTCAGGGCAAAATCTCAGATGCCCAGCGGCCATGGGGAAAAAAGGGGCATCCTTTTTTTGGGTTAGTTGAGTTTAAAGCGGAACCCTGCACCAAAAAAAGGAGAAAAAAGGGCGCCACCGAGCAACAGAGAAATGGTAACGTGTTCTGTTTGAACTGCTGGCTGATAAAGAAACCTGCCGAACATGGCGGGTGACGGAATCTCCCGGTTAGCATGGCAAAATGCAGTTGCAGCATCCCTCAATCATCCTTCTTTGCGAATCAGCCCTCTATATAGCCCCCTGCCAAAGCGGCCTATATAATGGGCCATTTAGAACTGCGTAGACCCCATCAACTGGCAAATTGGCATTGTTCTTTTGGGAACGTGCGAAAACAAGCGAACGAGAAACACAAGGCCAACTCAGGCTATGCCTCAATAATTTTCGCTCCCACCATTCCCTGGCCCGGAGGCTCTGAATTCATGTGTGGCACGTTCTTTGCGAATTGCCAAAGTCAGAAGCGATCACTTGATAGATGGTCATATGCAGCCATCCACAACAGCTTGTATTGTCATTTGTGCGAAATATGTTGTGGGGTCAGGACGCAACAAATGCAATGCTATCGAAGCACGGCATGATCCCTGAAGTCTTGCAAACAGTTCTACTAGTCAACACAGCCAAAAAAAAAAGAAAAAAAAGAGGTGGTACCCCTTTTTTGTTAGTGTAGTTCCAACCATGAGTTACGAACGGGCAATAGCCACGCATAGCCACTGATAGTTGCAATGCTCCCTCATGGTCATTTACAGTCATGGAAAGCCTGCTAATTCCCTATGCTCCTGGGAAAGGGCTTTAAGCGGCTTCCATGTCTCCCCTGGCTTGAGGTGTGCGCTCGTCTGGCCGCTCGGGCCGAAGAGGCGGCCGAAGAAGCCCGGGGAACTTTCTGGGCCTGTGGCCAATCCACAAGCAGTGATATTTGTTTCACGGATGGACTTGGACAATGTGCACCTGGAGTCTCCATGACCCTTAAATGGGGTCATTACCCAAAATTAAGGGGTCCATGAACTCTAGGTAGGTAGGTAGGCAGAGGCCAGGAAGGTAGTGCTTGCATGTTCCTTTTGCCTACTCGCTGGGGGAAGCTTACCGGTAAAGCCAGGATGGACAAATTCAACAATGCTACTTCCTTCTGAGCAAAATGCCTTCAACCAGGGTGCAAGTGGCAACGCTGAAGTGTGGAACAACATACGTTTGGCGGAACAGGGTTTTCAACGTAAAACAACACTGAATTCCGTTGAGCCACCTTTCGTCAGCTGCAAGTCAAACTCCGCACAGGGCGGCCCTCATTTTCAGTAGCAAGCTGTGTGCTGCAGAATTCTGCCCTTGGCTGTGAATTTACACAAAGCAGTGTCAATACATGTCAATGTGGTCCATGCGGGTGCCTGGGCAGTGAAAAGCCTGAAATGCATAAAAGACTGCATTTGTGGCCCGAAACCGAACCTTCACCTCAAATGTGCTTGATTGTGCTCGTTTAGTCCTTATCTGCCACTCATCTTTGAGGCTGGTCCTGTGATCAAACTGCGCTCAGACCGTCAACTTACCAGCAAAAAAGGTCTGAGACTGCCCAATGCGTGAATGGTGGTGGCCACATGGGCAAACAAAGTACCGGCTGTCACGCACTGTCCGAGGCCTTGGGGCGCTCTCGCCCTCTGCCTGTTACTGTTGCTTTGTGGCTTTGTGAGCTTCGCTCAACAATCTGACCCATTTAGATGGGGAATAATGGCGGGCGAGAAGCCACTGGCAATCAGGGTCGGGGTTGGTACTGTCCAGTATTGGCTCAGTATGGGCCTACACTCCACTGTTATGTCAGCCATGGATTCCCCCCAAATGTTACGGGGGCCAGCGGGCAAGGCCAGGCAAGGCCAGGGCTGATCATGTCAAACCTGCTACTCCTTCCTGTTTGGTTCTTTGTGGAGAGCACTCCAAGGCTTTTGCGCTGCATCCGGCGCTCCGTTTCTGGCTCTTGACCTGGACATCTTCAGACCTTCAGCTCGCGCCGCTCGCAGCTCAGTGCCGGGCCCTCAAAGGCCATGGTCATCGCCCCGTGGCCCCAAATCACCTTGTCCTATGGCCCGAGGCCCGAGGGCGGTGGACCCCCCAAAATCCGCACCTCAGCTGTAATTCTGTAGCACGAACGGTCATCGAACTGCAAACCGCTCAGGTTGCAACCGATCATCGGCAGCTATTTTGATGCTAGTGTCATGCCTATACCAGTGTTAGCGCCGTCTCGGCAAAATGACGGCCCCGGGAATAATCCCTGCTTCTTAATACCAAAGGTCCCCCTAACTGAACAACATACTCTTAAGATTCCAAAATTCAGGGGGCCCAGGAAAACTAAACTTACAATAGACAATTTGAAACCAATACTAAAACAGGGTTTTTCCCTACTTCGTAGTTTCAGGGGCCTTTCAGAACCAACACAAAACCAGTACTAAACCGATACAGCAATCCAAACGTGTCACCGATTTCTGCTGTTTAAATTCCTTACTCGGAAATTGCCCTTTGCCCTGACAGGAAAGACCTCATTTGCATGAGCGCCGAAGAGGACCGAACAGGACAGACCGGAACTCAGGCTTAATCATAAACATGCGTTTTCTCTGGGAGAACCGTGTTTTGTGACGAGGCGGAAGGGCTTTTGCCATTATTTCTCTATTAAACAGGGGGCCAGCCAACATAACATGAAACAAACTTAAGCGGTGCCGAACGGGCTACTTGTCACACCTCACAATTAGGATTTTTAGCTTCTGTGCTCAAAGCGACAATGGGTCGGACCGGCGAAACATGTATGAACCATATGACTCCTGCGGCTTGTACCACATCTTCTCCACCCTGCCGATCACCACAAGAATCAGGATCAAAAGCGCAAAGTCAATCACCTCAGCAGCATTCGGCAGCAACGTTCGGCTGTTTCACCCTGCCGTGCTATATATCCACCTTCAAAGGCAGCCAGCCCACCAGCGGAGTTCGGCAAGCCACAGGCTTAAACAGGCATGCAGCCCTACGAGGCATGGCTGACACCATTTGATACACATGCCTCATCCAATGGGGATGGGCTGCAGAAAGTGCCATCAACATATACGCCTTGTCCTTGACGCTGTCAATGCATCCGCCGACCAGGGTGATGTCTGTCAGTGGAACCCTACTCTATATCGTAGGCTCTGAGCCGTTTTCGCCGTTTTGCCAACTGGCGGCAATCAGGACCTGCGAAATGGAGAAATGGACCCCCCCCAGCGCGAATTCCACCTAACAGCCTGGGATGATGCTAGAACTGGAGTCCCCCTGATGGCAGCAGCATGGTGCTCAAGGTCCGCGCTATACAACAAGAATCCATCCGACTTGGGGGTCAGAAAGCTTCTGGGAGGTGAGATTAAACCTTTGCGCTTGGGTGCCCTGTGGTCTATGTGGCATCTAGGCCCAGTCCAGCCAGCACTTGCAGTGTAGGATCATTTTTTAAACAGGTTCACGCAGTCCGGGCAGTTCTTCGGACGGGTTTTGGGACAATCGCGTTTCGTCCTAGGGGGTGTTCACATAGTTTTTCTTCAACAGCATAGTCATCATCAACGCCCTCCAATCTCAATCTCGGCCGGCATATTGGATGCCTCTGGCTTCTGTTGTCTTCGATATCGCATGTGTGACGTTTTCGGATTTTCGCTTTTGATGTCGTTCGTCGACAAACATGTTCGTTGTCCTCCGGCTTGTCTTCAATTTCAGCACTCCACTGCCGCCGGATGTTTGTCTTTCTGCTTCTTCAAGTGCATGTATGTTTCCATTTTGAGGCTAATTCCAGCTGCGCAAGGCAGAGGTGGACTAGGCTGTGAAAATGGATGGCACGACTCCCTTTATGGGGGTAAAAAGGACCATGACTAAACCAACATGGAGGAATTTTGACTTTCACCCCAACGCTTCTGAAGGGCCAGGCGAGATTCCTGGCATAGTCGCTCCAGTTGCCGCTGGGCTTCTTTTCCGCCTGACAGGGTCGCAACAAAGGTCCCCACAGCAGCACTTACGTCAGTTACATTTTTTGTGATGACCTACGTTTACGGTCTATTCAGGATGAACCCTCAAGCAAGAGATCCTTCTGGCCAAAAGGCGACCCAAACCCACTGCAATATGGATATCGCTGGCGCAAACGGAATGATAACCACTATGTGGAAAAATAGGGATAGAAACATGGAAGCCAGCTGCAAGTAGTCGTTCCATTTTGTGTAGATCCAAGATTGGGATCAGTACCCGCAGATCAGTACTCCCAGCAGCCAAAGCATACAGAAAGGATATGCAAGGGTTGTATAAGGGTTTTGTAAGGGCGGCTCAAATTGTACATATTTGACTGCTGCAGAAGCCGGATAATTCAAGAGCCGCAGCACATTATGCATCGTCCGGCTGCACTGTGACATGGTTTGCGGGTGAAACTTGTGAACATGAACACTTTGCTTTCTTGGCAAAGGACAGGATCCCAAAAAGCAGCAATGCAGTTTGGCGCGCGCCTTCTTGTGAATTGGGGGCAGTGGACAAAACTGTTTTTTTCCCCAGTCGGGGCATTGATACCCTCATCCCCTACCATAAGGGGGAATGGGTGGGGGGTCCGCAGTTGCATCTATCTAGCCTTCCCCACAAAAGGGAAATAAAATCATAAATGGAACTTCTGGGGACAGCCCCCTCCCCCAATTCCATATTTAAGGGGTGGGGATATACCCTCATTCTGGGGCTAGCTGAGGTCGTTCAACAAGGAAAAGTGCTGCTTGGGGGGAAGCTGGCGATAAGAGAGTGCTCACAATTTCTGACTGCTATGACAGCTGCACGGCGATTTGGAAAGACTTATCAAATGGGCCCATGCCAAAAGGGGCGTTTTGGTGAGGTAGAGTGCACTACTCGCTTGCACTCGGTTGAATGCGCCTGGACGTGGTCACATTTGCCCTTGAAGTCGGGCCTTGATGTCTGCCTGTCCCTTCTTGAAGCCGGCGTCGAAGCCCTCAGCATACCTGGTACCTGGCGGCAAAATGTCAGTTGGACGATGGAAAACCCAAAGAGACAACCATCCTCACAGCCAACGGGGCCCAAGGCTGCTTCAGGTCCCAGTTGGCAGCCCTCCAAAAGAAGTGGCTTGTTTCAAAGCTGTGAGTTCCATGATTCAAGGGTAGGAAGATTGCGAACGGCCCTTCATACCTTCAGCGGCACGCAGACAACTCAAGGTGACTGCCTGTGAGCCAAACTCGTGCCATGCTCAGGGAGCAATGTGGGCTGGATTCACCTCCCAAAAGAGTCCCGACAAATCCCAGCACCCGCTTCCTATCCAAGTGGAACTCACCCTCGTAGGCAGCAAAGCACCCTGTGACAAATAACTGGCCATTCCCTTCCCCCTTTTTGTGCCACCTGCGGTACTGTTCTGCATGCAGCTAGCCTGCGACCAGTGGCGAGCATGAGGCGAAGGATTCAGCCAAAACCGAGCAACCCATAGGGAACGGTGTGTCTCTCAATGCACCAAGTGGCCTTCGGGGATCCTCTTAAGATGTGCTCAATGGTTGAAGTTGCCGACTCAGTCCCTCGAAACCAGTGTTTGGTGCACCAAGTGTTAAACAGGGTTTGCCGTGTTTCAAGCTATCTGCAAGATTGGCCATCACAATCAGCCGACTGTGAACTGAGATCAAAAAAGTGTAATCCCCGGTCGAATGCCGGGATCTACGTTGCTTTTTGTTCAAGCAAGCTGTATCGCATGCTTCAGCTGAAGCCAAGGACTGGCGGAAGGGATCTCAAAGAACAATCACCCCACAAAGACTTGTAAACACACCAAGGAAAGCAACACGTGCAACATTGACACAACACCGCACAAACCGGCTCTTGCTCAAAACTGATAAACATGACATGACTATGATGATTGGCACTATAGCACTCAGGAGACGGCTCAAACTGGGCGCTTGGCAGCAAACGTGGAGGGTTGGGAAGGCGCCCGGTTCAACAACCATGCGCCAGTGCTAAATCAGACGTGATGGCAAACCACAGGAACCAACAGCGGAAGCCAGGTTTCAAGCCCCCGAACCTCGCTGCCAATCAAAGCATACCCTGAAGCAAACACGTAACATGTCCCATTGCAGGCGGCAGCCTTCGCCTCCTCAAAGCCTTCCTTGTAGCAAACCTGGTTGGCACCTGCGCGTCGACACCATGCCGCTGGTTGAGGCCAGCTCGCTTGAAATGGAAGCCAAAAGCGCAGCAACACCATGCAGCCAAAAGAGCGACCCCAAAGGTGGGCCACATCGCCGGCCTCGCATTCTCTGTTTACATCGTCTCGTAAGGCCTACTTGGAAGTCAAGCCAATGAATAGGCGCAAGGGCTGCCAATGGAAGTCCAATCTTTGGCTCCAGGCGAACAAACAACGCCCAACAGCGTCTCAACAGCATGTGTTTCCATCCAGGCCCCTCTCAGGCATGGGGCATCAAATGAATGGCGCAGCAGGGAATATCGCGAGGCGAGCTATCGCATGTTCATTTTTGCTGGTCCGTGGTATTGCTAGGCGAATGGCATCGCCTATTCGAAGGGCCAGCCCACTCTCCCGCTGGGGCTCATGCTGCGGAAGCATTGCACGTCTGAAGAGCAACCTGCCGGTGGTAAGCCCCTGAGTTGAATGGGCGCTTCTGAACGCGGGTATTGAACAGAATCTAGACGTCTCCCCGTACCTAACAAGAAGCAAAGCAGCTTTGAGTTGACAGGTTGAGGCTGGAGGACCATTTGCCCTTCTGAACATATAAAGTCACCAATGTGATTGCGCTTTTCAAGAAGCCTGAAAGTGGTCTTAGTTTGATAGGGTTACCAGCTACCTTTACAAGCCCAAAGCTCCCTGTATTACGACAAGGCCCTACCTTCGCCTTGCTCGCAGTCCATGTGCGCAGGATGGGCAATTCCATGGTGCTTGTGTCGCACCGTTGGAGGGGGGGGGGCCTCAAGGAAACCGATCTATCAATCCGAAATCGTGGGGCGTCGCATCCTTAAGTTAACTAGTGCGCCACTGGTCCTTTGGAGTTTGGGATGCTCTGGGTCCTGTAGTTCAAGGTGCTTCCTGCCAGGCATGCAAACAAATCTGGCGGTCCAAGGCACAAGCCTCCTCCCGCATTGACTTGATGGGTGCACTGTTGTTCTCAAGGCCATGTTTTGCACACATCTCACATCGACGCGCCCTTGCCGGGGGGAATGAAGCACTCCTGCCATGCTTCTTGAAAAGCCCACCGCCTTGCAAGGTGCAAGCGCAGGCCGCAGCTGCCTCGATTGGCCGGAGGCAACCGTCAGGCTGAACTCTTTCGGCTGCTAGCAACATGAACCAAAGCAAGCTGAAGATTACAAACTCACAACAGGCAAGCTGTTGAAAGCTTTCTTCAAATTGATATCCACCTGTCACACGCCAGACAAAAAGGACGCGGAAGCTTGGATGCCCCTGGACGCAAGAGGTGTCAGGCGTCACCTCCCGCTATGCAACCTTCATAAGTCACCCTCAAACAGCAAGGGTACAAAGCCTCATTAGAAATTGCTAAAGCCTCACCTCAGGAATGAATCGTCCACGCCATCATTTTGACACGTGTCCTTGGCTTGATGCCCGTTGTCCAGTTAGACGACGCATCCAGTTTCTTAGAAAGGGCCTGGGCCCGAGCCCTTGCCAGGACTCACTGCCAACTGGGCCAATCCAGTTCAAGAACCTGCTCGGCCCCGGGGTGAATGATTGAGAAGCCTCCAGCCATCCTTGCGGGAAGTGCAACCAACCCCTGAGAAAGTTTTGGGGTAGTCCGCTCTCACTTGAAGAGATCTCGGTATAGCAATGCGTCGTGACGTAGTGTCGCCTCTTGCAGCCACTGCTATGGCCCTGGTAGCCACAAGCCACAAGCTGACCCGTGCTTCGACAGCTGGCCAGGGCGCCCAGCCAGTAGCCCCCACTGCCGGCCCATGTCTGCGTTGAGAAGGCTCTGGCGAGCGAAGCTGCTTTTGGTGGGAGCTGGTTGCTTTGGGCATTTTGTATATGCCGTGCTTGCGGATTGCTGGCCGTACACCCGAACTTGGCTACGTAGAGTGGAATGCCCCCTGCAGCTGAGTTGTCCAGTACACCCTGTCTTTGGGCCACCCGTGGCTACAGACTATAGCAGTGGCGCAGGTGCGTTCTCTCGCATCAGGTGGCAAGCGTCACTGTGAAAAGCCCTGTTGGTAGACAAACACAACAAAACACAACACTCATGGACTTGCTGTGCAGCAGGCCTCACGAGGGTGTCATGTTGCGTGTGAAAGGTGTCAATCAAACGTATCAGGAATTCAGGGACCGGGAGCTCTGACTCGTCTTCTGCAAAGTGGTCAGGGTACAGTGTTCTGGTTCATCCAGGTTGTACCTTACCATAGCCATCTCAAGCGCAAGTAGCACATCGGACACCATTCTGCATAAAACCCTCCGGTCGAACAGCCATTTCCTCCGAATGCTTCGCGATCCTTGGCGCGAGATCCCTTGCCTCCCTTGCTAGATCCGCGTGCGCATGATCGGCCAGAAGATTTGTTTGCCCAAACCTCGAGGGTATGGCCAAACCAAATTCAGGATTCCTGTGCCTAAAGTATCATGCAGCAAAAAAAAGAAAAAAAAAGATTTTGCGGTGACCTACAAAAGCAAACCCGGTCTGTGAAAGCAAGAGGCTGGAACCGAGGGCCGCCAGTTTGCACTCTCGGCAAACAGTGAGATTCGTGCCCAGGGCTGGGACCTTTCGTCACAACTTTGCACTCTGGTCCATGCCCTGAGCCTTGGACACCTAACACTACCGGAGCTATACAACATGCATATTAGGCGATGCCTCTGCCGACTGGTCCAATAGCAATATCTGCCAGCCATAGTCCCACAAAAGGAAAACCGACATTGCAGCGGCCTTTGAGCCTCAGCAAGGGCTGCACAAGGCCAGTCGGAATAGCAAAAGCAGTTGCCACAGGCCCATAAATAGACTGCAACTAAACGAGTAAGGCCTGTCACTGCGGCTAAGTCTTTGCCCTCGAGATAAAACATTTTGTGATTCGGGCACGAGCCTGTGCCCAGGCAATGGGTAAGTTGGGGTAAACAAGCCACAAAAGAAAGGTTCCCCAAAAGCAAACCAATCCCCGGTCCCAAAGATCAGGGTTTCCCACACACCAGAGAACAACAACCAAAAGGAAACAAACCAAACAAGAAAAGGGTTAACCCGCAACCTTGGTCGACAACAGGCCGCACGACTGGTCCCTACCAACCTGGCGGCGGCCCGAGGTCTCTTTCTCCCCCGAGATGCCGTCGGTCGACGCAGGGGTTCGGCGACGCCCATTCGAGGCGCGACGGAACCCAAAACTTGAGCCAAACACCACAGGTCAGTCACTACCGCGACATCCCTGGTGATGAAATAAACCATGGCTAATCACACCCCCCTCACGAGGAGCCCGTCATATGACGGGTGGAGCGTGCCATTTACTGATAGGATTTAACTGCTCGCATACGTCCGCAAACAGCTGGACACTACCGCCGTCAGCGGTGGAGCAAACCCACAAAGGCAGTCGCGCGACATCCCGGGCATTAAATTCCCGCCACCACCCCGAATTAATCGGGGTAACGCTGTCCAACATACCTTGTGGAAAAGTCCACCTGACGACAATAGGTCACAACTGTTTGCATCAGAAATGCAAGAAGTTTAATTCTTATCAGAAGCCATGAAATAAAAGATAACGTATGTCCATTAGTACCCTCGCCTAACGGCAAGAGGTACTCCTGACCATGCGTACCTGAAAATGCCTGAATTCCGCAAACCCGGGAGTAACCCCCCATCAGTTTGCTTTCCCTCTCACTCATACTGCTTCCGGATGAGCACGTCCAGCAGCTCAGCAGCGGTGCGGAGAGACAGACCTCCGCGCCTCAGCGGTCCGGGAGGAACATGACCACCTCCACACCGCGCCGACCATTGGAGAATGGACGCAAGCCTATCGGCCGCAATCCCCGTGACTCAGCCTACCGGCTATCGTCACGTCTCCTCCGGTCACGCCCGCCCCGCGCACGGTCCCTGTCACGATCCCTTTCGGATCTCCTGCGATCATCTCGCCTTCGATCTCGCTCCCGATCGAGTGAATCATCATCACGACGATCACGAGCATCGTCCCTCCTCCTGTCGCGATCATCCTCGCGCCGCGGACGGTATCTGCGCCTCCTCGACTCTCTGGAATCCCTGGTGTCCACGGTCCTAACGGACCTCCGAGAAGGAGTACGGGAAACATCCGATTCCCTACGCCTCCTCCCAGATCGAGAGTTCGTCACGATCTGGTTGAGAGCCTCCAGTGCCGACGCGTCCTCACCATTCCTGATGAAATCCCTGACCTGCTTGTTCAGCACTCTGTTGGTGGAGATCGACAAGAAAGCGTCCACCACCGAACTCTCAGGCAGCACCAGGAAGTGACCCTCCACCGGGCTCGCCGCAGCCCGCTCAGCAGACTGCAGCCGGACCTCCCCGCCTTCAGGCTTCTTTGCCATCGCCTTGGAGGCCGTCAAAGGCGCTACCGCATCCTTTGCCGAAGATCTGCCAAGCGCGGAGTGAAGATCATCCCCGCTAGCTTCTCTCGCTGCCGCACCTGGTCTGCTGTCGACGTCGCCAGGCCTCGTGGACGCCTCCCGCTTTGTCGACTCCTTCGCAGCCTCGTCGGGATCCCAACGGGATTTCCTTTCTCTCTTCTGTCCTTCGGCCGACCCGCGGCTACCGCCGGGAGCGTCACCTCCTCCTGTCTTCTCCTTCTTGACCTCAACCTTCGGTTCGGCCTGCTTCGTCTCCTTAGCCACAGCTTTTGGAGCCGGGGCACCCTTCGCCTCAGAAGCTGAAGCGGCCTTCCCCCTCGGCTCGGCCTTAGGAATCGGGGTCATTTTAGCCTTGGCACTCGGCCTGGCTCCTTCAACCACCATCTCGGCCCAAGACTTCTTCGGCTGAGCTGCCGCTGTATCAACCTCCATCGGAGCAGGTCCAGCATCGTCCTTCGCCTTTGGGACAGATGGGCTACCGCCCTTACCAGATCCTTTACCTGGCACATCACCTGATTTCGGTGGTGGGCCGGAAGGACTACCGCCCTTACCGCCCTTTTCCCCTTTCTTCCCTTTTCCTTTTCCGCCCTTGGGGACCGGCTCTTGCTTGGGACCAGGACCCGGCGCAGCATGATGCACCGATTGGAGTCCCTCGATGTCCACGTTCAAAGGTTCGGGTTGACGACCGTCAAGAACCGTCCTCACCCTTTCGTCACTAACGTAGACGAACGGGTCACGGAAGGGTGCGGGAGGCTCCGACTGTCCGGCGCTGATCGCCTTCTGCACCTTGGCTATCGCCTCCTTCAACCTCTTCTTCTCATCGTACCCCGTCTCCGATACCATGTACTTCCTGAGCTGCGAAATCAACGCATGACTCTCCAGGATGTCCACGTCCTTTCGATGAGTCGGGTACAATGGGGTCAGATGACCAGCCGCAGAACCAATCACGTATGCCATCGGAATATAGAATGACAAGTACGTGTCATGACGAGCGAACTTCCTAACGGAAGTCGTCATACGCCTACCCCACTGAGCAGCGTGTCTTGGGTTGGCCCGGAAGTACTCCGTGACCGACTCAAATCTATCGACTTGGTTGGTCTTGATCAGGTGCTTCGCCACCCACTTTTCCACAAACGCATCCGATGCCGAAATCCCGGACACATAGGAGAATTGGAATAGCACCTTCGCCAGCTCATCCCACGCCGCATCGACACCTCCCTTGTCTTCACCAAGATAAGGGGGAAGTCTGATGCCGCTCTGCACCGTCATCCTTAGATCGGATGCCATTGAATAGGAAATCAAATTCCTCTTGATGACTCCGACCACTTCGGAGGGAATCCTCCTGGGCTTGAACTGCCCCATGGTCCTCACCCACTCCGGCACGATGTGGCACGTTTCGAAGTCCTTTTCCTCCGCGTTGGGGATAAAGTTCGGGTAAAAGACCGGGAGCGCGCACCCGGGACACAAGTGCATCCCATTCGGCATCAATTCTGCGCACCTCAAGCAGAACGTGGCAGTCACATTCAGCCTGATCTCTTCCCGTGATCGCTTGTGCTCTCCCCTAACGGGGGTGAAGTCACCGTAGTCCCATGCCCGATGGTACACTATCGTGTAATCATCGTACATATACGCCGCCTTCCAAGCCCCCATGTGGATCTCGTTCCTAACGGCAAGAGTCTTCCTTCTCGTCAAAAACACGGGTCCAACCAAGGACCAGTGCACCCGAAGATCCACCATTACCACCACGTACCTACCGGAGTAGTTCCGCAGCCTGTCCCTGACATACCACGAAGGCGATACCTCAGCATCCGGCGCCATGGCTCCCACAAGTGGGATCAGGCCCTCATCCTGCCTACCATCCCCAATGGTCTCGTACACATCGGGCCTCGTGATCAATATCTCGATCATGGCCTTTCCATTTCGCCTCACCCTTTGGAGCTGAACCGCCTTCCGAAAGTCCGAGAACTTCATGATGACGTATCCCACCATGGGGAGTTCATTCCAATGCATCTCATACATCAGAGATCCGCCAGGTGCATCTTCCTGAGTATACCTGTGCCTAACGGCACTGTAACTCAAGTCGCGTCCGATCCGCGTGTGCCTAACGGCAACCAACCTGGTGCTCTCCTTGAGGAGAACGCCATCCCCGTCGTACATGACCATGAGCATCGCCTCCACTTGCCCTATCGGGAAAGCTTTAAGCGTCGGAATGAAGAACTTCCAAGACATCTCAGCGTTCTCCATGCCCGAAATCTCCTTCAGGAACCAGATGGCCTGGTCACTTTTCACCCAGTTTCCAGCCTCGCGTCCGGTCTCCTTCAGCACACGTTCCTCGAATAACTCCGAGACTCTCTTTGAATTGATGACCAAGCCGTCGAAATCGCACGAGAGCAGTCTCATCAACTCCTTCGCCGCCTCCCGTCCTGCAACAGTGCCCACG